TGATTTGAATCAGCCACGCAAATGCAAGGTCGACAGGTGAACGGGATCTTCAAAGTGCAGCGAGGGATTTGGGCAGGCACGTGTGCGGCGTTTTCAACGCGCCAGCCCTAAAACACTGAGGAGGCAGCAAGGCAATCTGCCATCACGTGCAATGCCAATGTAAGCGGATTGCGCGAGCGTTGTGTTGCAACCACACCTAGGAAGTGCATATTGTGCGCCTTTTTGCGCGTAATTGATGCCGTACAGAAAGCAGGCGGCGGAGGGAACTGGTTGATGCATCTTGCTTTTTGAAACATACGCACGGGTGCAGCCCCGCTTAGAGAATGTGGGCAATGGGAGGGTGGCGCAATGCTTCCTGATGTGAGGGCCGCCCCGCCCTTCTCACTGAGGCGTCTCGAAACCCGAACAGGCCCCAGCGGGCTGGTGGCAGTGCCAGCACAGTGTGCTGGCATGTATGGCCGCCTGGCTGGCGCCAGCCCTGGGCGACATTGCCGAGGCAGCTGCTGACGCGCAGCACCAAAACGACGCGGCAGCCGCTGATGACACAGCCCACACTTCAGGATCAGAAGGCCAGGCATGTCAACGCATTCAAATTTTCGCACGCAAAATTTCCAAAAAGGCCCACCGACAGCCAACCTGAGTTGACCTGCGATGTCGACCCAATGGTCCCTGCATACCGGATTGGTGCTGGCGGCGCTTCCGACACGTCGTTCGCTGTCGTCCAATGGTTGCAATTGCCAAAAGAATCTGAGATCGTCCCACCGTACCGGTCGGAGCCCGTCCACACATAACCCTGCAAGGTCACGCCGGCCGCCTGCAGCGACGCAGCAATGGATCCGTCCAGCAGGTCTGCCCAGTTGTTGGCGAGGGTGGTCTTCGGGCTCGTGCCAAGGGAGACGACCGGCAGGTTTGTGGGCACCCCGTACAGGGTGGGCATGTCCCGGATCTCGTCAGCGGCCGAGACGCTTATGAAGGCGCGGGCGCTGACGTAGCCAGCCGGACGGGTTGCGGCCGCCTGGCAGAGCGCATCGGCGCCGGCGCGGCCGCCAAGGTTGCCGTCGGTGGGTGATGGGAGCGCATACAGCACGATTTGCGTCGGCGAGGTCACGTAGCCCCCTGGGGGCACCCCGCCGAGTGTGGCCGCGTCGATGACGGCGTCGACCCGCAGGAAGTCGCTCGCGTTGACGGGCTGTATGCCAGCCTTGAGCGCCGCAAGCCCCGCAGTGACGTTTGCCCCGAGCTGCTGCAGGCTTGCCTTGAGCGCGGCAGCGTCGGCGGCGGTGGAGGCCGTCTGCCGCTGCAGGCTTGCTTTGAGCGCTGCAATATCTGTAGCGGCGTTGGCTTTGAGATCTTGGAGGGTGTTGTTAAGCGAGACCACAGCTGACGCGGCCAGGCCCACTCTGCCTGACAGCGCGGCCAAGTCCTGTCGCGCCTGGGCGACGGCGGCATCTGCCGCGGTCGTGTTGGCCGGGGCACTGCCGTTGGGCGGGCCGCTGATGGCCGCGGCGACCCTAAATTCGAGCGCGGCCAGCCCGGCGTTGAGCTGCGCTAACGTCGTCAGCCCGCAGCCGACGCGCAGGCTGGTGGGGTCCTGCAAGGGGAGGTTGCACAATACAGCTCGTCAGTGTACTCGGCGGCCGAGGAATCACGAGCTGCAAGGATGCATGGAAGCGGCCGCGCCTTGAAGAAAACTGTGCACGCCTTTGGGGACCGTATTTACTGCATGGCAGAACCCAAGAAACAGGTGGAATCCACGCGAATCACCAGCCCCGCACCTGGCTGTCCACTGTTGCGTTCGTGGGTGCCAGCAGCTCGCTGCACAGCTGACCCACCGCAAGAGCCGACTTGGGGCCGCACGACCTGACGAGAGTTCGCACTGGCGCGCACTGCGCACACGCGTGATGGGAGCATCGCCGCGCGCAGGGTGGCTTGTTGAATTTTGGGCGGCGGCGCGATGACGCAAGCCACGTGCAGGTATGGCCGCATGCGGCCATGGCTGAAGCCGCAGCACCCATCGCGCAAGGGTTTGCCGTTTGCTTGCTTCGTTGATCAAGGCTGGGCACATGCACGTGCGTTTGTGTCCAGCCACATGCTGACATCAGCGTTGCCAGCCCTTCCTGCAACAAAATGCTTCTCACGATTGCAATCTTCTTGACCATCGGTGGCTTGGCAGCTGCATGAGCACTGCAAGTGATGGGGTGGCGCAGGAAGGTTGTGTGGCAATGCTTATTGACGGCCGTGGTGTGTGAGAGCGCAAGTGTGGAGAGCGCAACGGTGCAAACGTTCACGTCACACACCTGGTGCGCTGCAGATATTTCAAGCGCTTGCTTCTGAGGCAGCACCTCGAGAGGGTGGTCCGGCTGGCCCGCTGCCGTGCCTGCTTGCTGCCACCCCAGCGAGCGACACGGCAGCCTTGCTCGCCGTCAGCCAGCGTCATGGGCACATCTCAGGGGCGGCATGGCGCCCCCAGCTGCACCACCGCAGCAGTGTTTGGCTCACCACATGGCAGTAGCCAGCATCAGTACCACCGCCAGGCATGTGCCACAACGGATGGTCATCACAACAGCACCCGCCGGGCGCGCACGCCGCAGCATCTGGACACGTTGGTCGGTGTGTTTCTCGCCCGAAGTAGGTATGAAGACTATGTTTTGATTGTTTGAATATGCTGTTTAGATCGGCGAGCAGCCACCTAACCCGCGGTCCAACGGTCCCGCGACCACTGAACAGTCTGGTCGTGCCTGCCAACCACCGTTTCGTAGATTACAATATGGCCTGGATTTCTTGTGGGTTTTAGGGTTTGTCAGCAGGGCCTGCATCGTGGGGGGTAGGGTTGTGGGCGAGCATCTGCGTCTGGCTGTCACCCTTCGAGTAACAGGCAGGATCTTCACCCAGCACCTCATGCAGGCGCGCACTTGATGTGCGTGTGATACTGGAGAAAGACAGTGCTCCCGCCTCAGTTGGCATACTTGAAGCTGACAACTTGCGTCAACTGGTTGAGAAGGAGAAGCTGCTGGTCATGCTGTGCAAACCGGGGTGCAGCTGCGCGATGACTCGCATTTGCAGCGAGGCATCGCAAGTGGCAGCCGTTGCACTGCGACTGCACTAGGCACTGCAGAGCATTGCAGACACGCCTTTCAGACGCCCACAGCTAGCACACTCCGCTCAGATTGCCCTCAGGAGACCACTATGGGCAGGGAACATCCCAGTCCCATGCATGTGTTGAGGGATCCTCGATGCTGCATGCAGTAGGTCGGTGGCAGCTGCACGGAATGTCTGTACATTGAGTGTGCGGCCAAACAGCAACAACGCAGGCATCTACCTTGGTATTATGCACAGACATTTCTCCTAGCCACTAGTCTCGCAAATGTCAGAGGCCCGCGTGCTCCTGAAAGGCGAGGTGGCGGGATGTCGACTCAACATCTCCTGTTGCAGCTTGTATGATGCGGGCACATCATTCCCGTGCAGCCGCCAGCTGCTGGTGGCATGGAAGTGACTCTGTGCTGTTGATAACCCAATCAACTGTCTGTTGCGCCCTAGCGTCTGCCCGTATGAACGGATAATGGAAGAAAACACGCAAATTGCTGCGATGCACGACTGCGGTGCCGCGGCGGCAGCTTCCCAGAATGCTGTCAGGCTCGCAGATGGAAAGGGCCGGCTTTGCGCCTTTGTGGCAGGGAGCCCCATAATGCGCACTCCCGAAAGCAAATTTGAGGCTCGCGCATATGATTGAGTACTAATGTACAGGCCAGGGGCTTAGTCATGCGCGTGTGCAGGCAGAACTCAGGGAGGCGTGCCTGGGGCTTACGGCAGCCATTTGGTGAATTTACTTGGGCATGGGCATACCGAAACTACTCAAAGAATTGCGTGGCTACAAAACTGAGTGTCTGCTGCCTGCCCAGCTGCATGCGTGGTTTTGCCCTGGCCTCTGTGCGTTTGCCACATACACTGCTGAAACACACCGCGCGCGCAAATGCATAGCATACCTAGCTTGCTTGGCCCTTGTGGCATTACCCAAAAATTACTTCTTTCAATAACTCTTAATAGGGGGTATCACTATGGAATTCACCTCAGGTGAGCTGCTAGAAGTCCACAACGGTGCCAGGTGCGGGGCATGGGCGCAGTGACATCACCATTCCTCAAAAGCATGTGCGTCCACAATGAGGTGTTCGAAGCGTGGTTGCTGCACATGAACGTATCCAATGACAATCATCCAGCCCACACTATGCATCGTGTCAGCCAGGAAGCGTAATTGAAGGGTGCACAGCTGCAGCATGCTGCATAGAAACTGCTGTGCTGCGTTGCGTTGTACCATACTTGTTGTGGCACAGGTCGCGGCGTTCCGAACAACTTGTTCAAGAACCCAGAACTGTATTGCTGCAAACTCGTCAAGTCAGTGGCCCGCTGCGACAGTTGCCAGACCGACAGAATGGCACAGCAGGAGGTGATCTTCTCTTCCACGGGCCCAGTAGAGCTTCATGCGGTGCGCAGATTCTCATCCCGGCGCGCAGATTGCCCGTGGGAGCGTGTCACTGGACGCATGGATGCTGGTGACCTCCTCGCAACCAGCAGGATTTGTTCTTAGCACCAAGGTCATAATGCTCATGGAAAGAATCCAATCAGCGAGCATTCGGGGAGCGGACTGGCCGGCATCGTACGCGCAGCGCCACAGTGCCCAGCCACGTGCGACGCCCCGTCGCCAATCCCGCGCTGCTGCACTCCCCCTTTGTGCTTGTTGTTGCAACAATACAGGTGGAGGGCGAGAAGCGCACGCCTCTCATTGAGGGGCCCAAAAACCCACAAGAAAGCGGCAGTACGCTGGTGATCCAGTCTCGCCGCGGCACAGGTCAACTCAGCCCCACCACCATCCCGCCCTGCCCGCCGCCTTGCTGCCGCAGAACCCCCGCCAACGCCGCCTGCGCAGTCATGCGTGCAACCACACCGCGTATAAAAATCAAGGATCTCCACCAAACTCGAACATATTTTCAGGCAAAAACTACCCAATGCTGGCTGCCACGGCGTCGGTTGGGCCGGTCAGCTGGCTGCTGCAGCTTGGGGCCCACACCATGCGCTCTGCATCATCTGCGGGGGAGCCGTCCTTCATCTTCTCGTTGGTGGATGAGAAGAATCCAGAGCTATTCTATTGCGTGGTCATGCGCAAGGGTGGGTGGTTTGGCTTGTTTTGCGGGGCCGTGTGCTTGCAGGCAGCCAAGTACGACCACAGCTGCTGCCGGCAGTGCGATCCCCGGCGGCGCCCTGCATGGACGAGCGACGGGGCGGGGTGCAGGCAGGGGGTGATGGTGTGTGGAGCTTGGGCTCATTTGTCACAGCCGGTTCATGCGGAGCCAATGGAATACGCGCCCTCCTTCAGGCCCTTCCGGTCACCTGCACCCATTCGCACCGTCAAACGTCCATCTCACCACACTCAACACGCCTGCCTTCTCCACTTTATCTTTACCATCAAGTAACTCTCTCCAATGCCCAACCATATTTTCCCTCAACAATTGCGTTCCCCGCAGACACCCCCAAGGATGAGATCACCATGCTGCAGGACATCCTCGGAAGGCTCACCACCTTCCACACTGCGCGCCCCAAGGGCCCCGGCCTGCCGCAGGTCAACACCAGCCAGGTGGGAGCTCAAAGTGGGAGGCGCCCGTTTGGACTGCGTCAATGCTGCGGGTGGGGGGTATTGGCTCCTTTGAATAGCCTCCTGCACCCATCCCCCAATGGCAACGCAGTATCTGACATATGTAAGCCGCAATTTCCGACCCTTTAGCCTTTGCGGTGAGCAGCCGTGACCATTCCTCCTGGCCTACAAGCAGGGTTCAGCGGCATAGACCCAACATCGTACCCATCAAAACCAAATCCCAGATCAACGAGGTTCTGCGCAAGGGGGCCGAGGACACGAGCCTGCTGCTGAAGATGGCAGGGGAGGGCGCGAGGGAGGCGTTCCAGCGGGCGGCTGAGATGCACAAGAAGTATGCGCCGGCCCCCAAGGAGCAGCCGCTGGAGGTTGACTCGGCGCTGAGGGACAAGTGAGCCTGCGAGAGTGGTCCTGCTTGTTTTGTGGGTAGTTTTTTTGGTGTGTGTGTGTGTGAGTGTGGGTGTGGTGTGAGTGATTGCACATCTAGTGCGTGCGTGCGTGAGTACGTGCGACGTGCGTGCATGCATGCGCTTTTTTCTTGTGCCCGGCCATGATGCAGGGGCTGCCAGTGGGTTTTGAAGAGGGGCGCATGATTCATGGCGTTGCCTGCACGGCAGGATAGCAACCAGATGCATATGACTTGTACTCTGTTTTATGTAAGCACTCACCATCATCTGCCCAATTGCAGGATCGCCAAGTCTAAGCAGGCGACCGCGGCGGGCGCCGCCGTGGCGCGCGGCGTGGCGACCGGCATGCAGGTGTTCTGAGAATCGTGTTATAGCGCCAGCAGCACCGCGGCAGTCCTTGGAGAGCACCAGCAAGCCCTGACATCATTGCAATACGTCCTTAGAACGTCGGCTTGGTTCACTGGAGGATCGTGCTCAGGCCGTATGGGGGCATCACGAAGCGTTGACCAGAATTCGAGCGTGACGTTTGACCAGCCCCGCGAATGCTAAACGCGCATCGCAGGCTGCCACTGTGGAGATTGGGGCGTCCCTTATGAACGTGGGGAGCGGTGGCAAGAACACGCCGAAGGCTGGCGGCAGCAGTGGCGGCGATGGCGGCGGCGGCGGCGGCAGCGGCAGTGGTAGCGGCGGCAGCGGCTTGATGGCACGGCCAGAGGTCAAGGCCGCGGGTGGTGTTGGCATGGAGATTCTACGGGTGAGGGGGTCCTGCGGGCGTGAGCTGCAGCAGGGCTTGCGGATGGCGGGAACATATTGCAGGGTTGGGTGTCTGGTTTGCGTCTGATGGCTAGTTATCAGACAGGCGATTCTGATTATGGGCTGGTTGAGCCAGCCGCTTGGGGGCGCCGCAGGAAAGTAAGACTGCCGGGCCAGTCTAACTCCAGCCGCAGCTCCTCACGCCCCCAAGTCTGCGGATTACGCGGCACATATCCCTTGCATCATGCCCGGCACCATGCCACGAACAGCGCACGCACGGGCCCATCCTGTCGACTAATTACCAAATGTGCGCCCCCCTCAAACCCTCTGCAGGACGTGGCGGCGGTGCGGGACGCTTTAGTCAACTCTGTTGGTGCTGCCTGGGGCGGCTTCAAGGTCGCCACAGTGGACGTGTTTGAGCACCAGTACGGGGCGCAGGCTGGCGGCACCGTTGCAGACTCCTGCGACGTGGTGGAGGGCATTGCCAGTATGGGGTGAGGGAGGAGGGGGGGTGCGGCGGCGGGAGCGGGAGAGGAGGGCGACGGGGCGGTAGAGGGGCACGGCGCGGCTCGTCGTCGCCTCCAGCGGATGACTTGATTTTGGTGGGCTCCACAAAAGGACTCCACAAGACACTCGCTCGGCACGTGCCAGGTTTTGATGTCAACCGCAAAGTGCCAGATCCCCCAACATCGGTTATTGCAACATTAGCTTTCCCCCAGCACCCCTGCGCACCTCCAACCTCAAGTACCTGCCCGGTGCCCCCTCTGGCCGCTCAAAAAAAGACCTGTAGCTATTCTCCCGAGCCTGTCAAGCTGTCCTATTCTGCCAGCTTATTGCCCAGGTCGCCAACCCCTTACCAACCAGTCGGTCTTATTCAACCTCAGCAGTCTCAACTTCCAGCACACACTCGATCGTTTCTTGTCATTCAACAGGATGGCGATGAAGCTGACTCAGCCGACACAGGTGCTGCTAACCAGCACCAAGGAGACGGTGGAGGGCGCCACAGCCAAGGCCAGCGGGAAGGTGAGGCTCTGGGGGCCCCTCGCAAATGTGTGCTGATGTGGCACAAGCGTGCTGTAAAGGAGGAATCAGATGAGGGAGTATGTCTGGCACACAAATTTGATGTACGGTCAGCGTGAAGCAAACGGCGGCCTGGCGGCGGCCAGGCGATGCTCGCGCTGCCTTCGGACGCGCGCCCGATTGGTTTGCAAGTGCGCTGCAGCCGGCTTTCCATCCATCCCTGGTGGGTCACGCCTTCTTTTCTCCCCTGCAAACCGCACCCACCAGGATGGCCACCTGTCTCAGGGGCAGCTGGCGGCCGAGAAAGCGGCCCTTGAGCTCGAGAGGGCCAAGTTCGAGTTGGAGAAGGCAGCGCTTGAGAAGGCCAAGCAGGACGCGGCGAGCGCCGCCGGCGGCCAGAAGAAGGGGCCGTTCGGGCTGCCATTCGCTTTCGGCGGGAAGTGACGATTCAATTTTGCCTTCCGGCCGCGCTGGACGGCGGTTGGAGGGGCGTGAGGAGGCCCTTGATGGCACGGCTTGTTTGTGTTGAAGGATGCTGTAGGTACCACACGGTTTGCAAGCCGACACGGGTTTTTTTGGCTGCGCGCCCCTGTCATTCAGCGCAGCATCAACATGGTCAACGATGCGCGCACCAACAAATGTTTGCCGGAGCAAATCGCTGTTGCACCAAAACCCCGGTGCAGATTGATTCGACGCTTGTGCACGCGCTCCGAGGCTGCGGCGCTCCGACGGTGAGAGGATTGCCCCTGCAGAGGGTCCAGTGGCGAGGCGGCCCCACGTGGGGTGGCGAACACGGCACTGTAACTGGCTAAAATTGACGCACATTTTTTTCTGGAAACGAGTGCAGTGCAGAGATGCAGTGAGTCAACCGGTCAACGAGTCAATTGACAGTTGTCCCGCATCATTTGGTCTTGCGTCTTTGATGATCACACAAACCTACTCAAATCATCCTCGAAACAATAGGCTCGCATGCACCACAAGTCAACCGACCCTGTTGTGTGGTGCGGTGTATGGCTCCTGCCTGTGCCTGACCGGGACCGCGACCGGGACCGCGGGTGTCGGTAGTGGTCGTGCTGCCGCCGCAGCCCGCTGTGCAGTCCTGTGCATCCTCATTCTGTTTGCAGTTGTACGGTAGCATAGATCGCCTCGGTTGTTTGACGTTAGTTCATCATGAAATCACTGGGGTGACCACCAACCGTGATCTCAAGTTGCGCCCTATCCAAATTGTCTGCGAAATCAAGTTCTCTTCGGAAATATAAGCAGCGTCGAGCAGCTGAATCACATGGCTGCCCTGCTCGCAGCGGGCAGCAGCGCCGCCGAAGCAGCAGCAGGCCGAGCCGCTGCCGCGGCGGTCGCCGTGGCGCCGCCGCGCCCCGTCATGCTCATATTGGTGGGCATCCCTGGGGCCGGGAAGTCCACGTTCGCGCAGTCCCTGGTGCAGCGCTCGCGCGCGCCTGGCAGCAGCACCGGGATGCGCTGGGTCTCGGTCAATCAGGACACGGCGGCGAAGGGCGGCGGGCGCGGCTCGCGCGAGCAGTGCATCGGCGCGGCGGCGGCGGCGCTGACAGCGGGCGCGTCCGTCGTGGTCGACCGGTGAGGGCGCGCTGGGGCCTGCCTGCTGCAGGGGGGTCGCATGTGGCGGGCCGTGCATCCTGCGCGGAGGTGGGATACCGGGATACCGGCATGCGCATGCAAACCGACGCTGGGTGTACAACAGGCTGAGATTACAGCCGCCCGCCGTCTGGTTTGCATGCAGCCGCGGCTCAGCCTTCATGCAGCCGCTGAAAGTCTCCTCCTCATGCGCCCCCTTATGTGACAACCCCCACCCCCCCCCCAATCGGCCGGCCTCGCACCCAGC